ACAACTTGGTGAGACCTCGTCTCTACAGTAAACTTAAAAATTAGCTAGGCATAGTTGTGTACAACTCTGATTTCAGCTACTTGGAAGACTGAAGTGAAGGATAGCCTGAGCCCAGCAGGTTGAGGTTGTGGTGGTGGTGGTGGTGGCTGCGGCACTGCACTCCAAGCCTGGGTGAGAGTGAGACTCTTGACTCAAAAAAATAAATACAAAGGATATTACAAAGAATATAGATGGAGAGTTGTGTAGGGTGAGGTATGGAATAAGGGGCGCAGAGCTTTCATGCCCTCCCTGGGTATGACAACCTCCAGGAAACTCCACGTGTTCAGCTCTCAAGAAGTTCTTCAAAACTTGTCCTCTTGAGTTTTTGTGGAAGCTACATGATGTCAGCACTCCTTCTTTTAGCGTCTGGGGTGGGACTCTTAAGGCCTATAATTAGATTCTGCCTTGGGACAGGTGAAAGTGGAAAAAATTTGTTTTTTGAGGCTCGCCCCTGAGGCCCTACACACCCAACATTGTTACAAAAGATCTTAACAAGGGCTATGGGGGTTAAGAGCCATGTACTGTGGGTGAAATCCATAATAATCTAGCATAACTCTGCACCTTATACTAGTGAACCTCTATAGTCCTATAGTTTGTCTATTCTATCCCATTGTCTATTTGGTTTTATTTCCCCGAATGCTCATTCTCTTGACATTTTCCCTTTCTCTTTATGTGCTAGTAATTTATGCTGAAGAAAGAAAAAAAGTGTTCCTTGTTTCCCCACCTTCACAGTATGTTTGCATGCTGTACCTTTGCTTTTTTTCATTCTTCTCTCTAAAATATACTTTCATTCTAGTGGCTAATGTTTATTTTTAAAGATCCTTCTTAGGGGTCTTCTCCAGGATGCTTTCCCAGATTAAGTTAAATGACTCTACTTTTTAATTTATCATTTATCACATTATATTAAATTTATCTGTTTAATAAGTTCTTTTCTGGAACCAGAGAAAGATCTCAGAAGGACCATCTGTTTATATTTCCAGTGCTAAGACAAAAAACTGTCAATCTGAACTTCAGCTATTAATAATCTTCTTCATGATTTTCAGTTTTCTTAAGTCAGTTTTGCCATTAGCATTACATATAAAACAATTTTACCAATTCACAAAATAATCTTCTATTTGCACATGAAGTACACAGAGGAGTTTCGTATATAGTAGCTTGTTTAATATTTATTTAATCATTACTTACATTTTATCCTCACTTCTAATTTTTTCTTAATTTTGGTCGTATTGTAACAGGGACTAACCCTCTTTAGGGCCCTGAAATAGAATTCTATATTGTACCATAACTGTGTGGACATTCATCAAATCATATGCTTTACACAACTGTTGTCAAATTCAAACTTTAGAAAATAGAGTAAATCTGTAATATGACTAGGACACTGTATTAAGTGAAAATAAGACTTTCTGTCCTAAAAATAAAAAGTTTACTATTTAATTGGGTAGACAATTTACCAATACATGAAAAACTTAAATAAGCAGGGAATATTGGTATTCATTTCTAAATGAATTGTGCCAGCACTAATGGCTATATTTTTAAAGAGAGTTTGTTTATTAAATTCTGTTTATTTAAGGGCTTATTGCCCTCTAGTGGGTCAAATAAGTATGTCTAAGAAACTACAAATTACTGGCAAATTCAATAACTGAAATTAAAAGCATCAATACAGTATTTTTACTGTTTGTATTTTACCTAGTGAACCCCAGCAAACGGGAAAAAGATTTCCCATTTATTCTCTGGTGGACAATAATACAATAAGATCCTTTCAGACAGTCACTGTTAGTTATTTCCATTGGTGTTTTCATAGTATTTCCTTTGTGATACTTGTCACCTAGTTTATCTGTCTTTCTCTACTGATTGACTTGCAGTACAGTGAATGCATGTCTGATGAAAAATTGAAACACTAGGAATGAGTAAACACTAAAATTAAAAAACACGATCGATTGGCAACAATTTCATATGTGGTACCTCTTGGGATTTATCTTTCTTCTCAATTTTATTTGAAAGGAGGATGATAAACTATTATATTTCTTTCAGCTCCAGTATAAATCATATTTCAATTTAGTAAGCTCATGTATTTTACTTATTCATCAGTTATTTATTGTGCAGCTGCTGAATGCCAGGTGTTGAGGATTGTATAAGTGATGGACAAACAGATAAGGTCCCTACCTAGTAATACTAGACTTACAGTCTTAGTGTTAAAAGATAGACATTAAATAGATAATCTAGTAAATCCTATAAAGGAAATATACATAATGTCATGAGAAAATATAACAAGGGGACTGATCTAGTTTTTGACTGGGGGATGGGAAAAGAGACGAAGACAGAAAAATATACATTATTTAAAAAAAATATTTTCTCTCAGAATGGAGGAATTAAAGCTGATTTTTATTTCCTTTATATATTTAAAGTGTTTTCTAAATGTATCACTTTTATAATTAGAAAAAATCAATAAAAATACTAGGTAGGGAACTTAGCAATAACATACAAATAAAATCTTGGTCCCTCTAAATCTTTCACACAAAAAAGTAGAAATAAGGAGGGTGAGATAGAAAGGGAAAAAGCATAAGTACTAGGACAGGTTAATGGGTTAAGAGCCAGGAATCACAGCCAGCAAACTGTATTTCAATTTAATAAACCAGTTGGCCTTCATTTTGAAAGCCCAGAGATTGTCTAGGTCAATCTCCAAGAATTAAGGTTCTGACAGACTTATTAAAATACATGAAGTCCAGGTGGATGCACTATAAAGCATATCTAATTTACAATGGAATACCCCGGAATACTTAATTTCTCTCCTAAACAAGCCATATGAGGAAGTAAACCATAATCCAAAGATGCTTTACTAATTTACCATGAAAAATTACCACCATAGGGAAGGGACATATCAGAAGCCCATACACATACACATATATATTTGGTATAAACATGTTACAACCAAATTATAAATAGAAAGTTGCTTGAAGCGCTGTTTGTCAATCAACTCTTTAATAGAAACTCATTGATTATAACCCCTACATCACATTTTTAAAGCCAAGTACTTCTCAAACTTTAGTGTATATCAAAATCAATCAGAGGCCGTTGCTTTGCTAAGCTCTTTGAGCTATGGCTGCCATGTTTTCCTAGCATTGGCCTCCTCTCCTCTACCTTGGGGAGGTGAATTTCTTTTCCCTCTCTGATTTACTTTCTTTCTTTCTTTCTTTTTTTTCAATCGGAGTCTCACTCTTTTGCCTAGGTTGGAGTGCAATAGCACGCTCATGGCCACCGCAGCCTTGACCTGTTGGGTTCAGGTGATCCTTCCGCTTCAGGTGTGTGCCACCATGCCCAGTTAATTTTTCGATTTATTGTAGAGATGAGATCTTACTATATTGCCTAAGCTGGTCTTGAACCCATGGGTTGGCAATCCTCTTGCCTCCACCTCCCAAAGTGCTGGGATTACAGGCATGAGCCACCGCACCTGGCCTAGTTCTTGAACTTTATAAGATGTCAAGCTAGGCAGGGACGGTGGCTCAAGCCTGTAATCCCAGTACTTTGGGAGGCCCAGGCAAGAGGATTGCCTGAGCCCAG